CTGGTTTGTAGTTCCCAAACTACAAGTTCTACATTACGGAAGTTCTTCTTAATACTAACAGGTTCCAACAGTCTATTTTTTTCTAAGCAGACTTTTTGAAGGGTATGAAAATCTTGGGCAGTATACATCAACTTGAGAATTGTACTCTGCTTTTTCTCAAGCTGATCTGAATCATTCTACTTTTTCAATGCAGGATTCAAAGTTCAGGGCATGATACTGCGATTACAGTAAGATTTAGTTCACTGTCATGGAGTTCTCATTAGCTACGTGCTAACACAGCATCTGAAATCTGTTCTTGGGCAGTAGAGACAGAAAAAGGAACAGGCAGTCAAATACTGTTTCTGTACATCCAGTAGCCTCACCAACATCAGAATTAGTAGAGACACTTTACCCACTGTATTGTTCCCAGGTATTGCTGCAAGGTAAATCTCAGGGTCATAGATCAAGTTTACACGCTCTTTACCTGAATAATGTCTTAGTATTAAAACACAATCCTCCACTGGATGCATATCCTTCCTGTTAATATGCTATGCAGATTATTAGCAAATGCTCAACAAATTCATATGCTCTCTGGCTCAGGAAATCACACCATGTGCCCAAGGAGCTGAGATTAGTGGAGTCTATGCATCTAGAAACCAGCATATCTGACTTACCAAGTGAGGGCATGTGCATATGCATTGTTCAGGACCATCCTAAATTAAGAGTCCTAATAGAATATGAAGAGTAGAAGCTAGCAATATGGAATCAGATAATATGAGCAAAGGTAAGTGCACAGCAGATGAGAAATAAAAGCCCAACCCCTATTAGGAACACAAAACAAACGCAAAAAAAAACAGCATACAAATGCATGGGTGTTGTGCTCCTCATTTTCTTTCTTTTTAACAGTCTTAATATTTTCAAATTGTTAACTACAGTTGTCATAGAGGAAGAGTAACTACCAAACAAGAGGAAATCTCTCTGAGATGTCCTCTGTTAGCAAATGTTGTAACACAAAGATTGTTTCCAACAGAGTTGTTTTCTCAGTTCTTAGTCTACTAAAAAATTCACAGAAAAAAAACTATGACACTGTAAAACTCAAGTCTAATTTTTATTACATGGTGGCTGAGAAGCCAGAGAGCAGCTTCAGCATTAGGCCCTTGCAAGGATCTGGGCCAATATTTCAATGTCATTTAGGTAAAAAAGAATAAAACTATTTGCAAGAATGCTTTACAAGTTATTACAAATGTATCCATTATGCAGTCAAAAATCAACATTTTAGAACCATCTGCTTTGCTAATTGCTTTTTCAGAGGAGCTAACTAGCATAACTTAAGCCTACAATTTAGATTTTTCTATATACCTCTGTTAAAACATTTGTAAGAAAAAAATTTAAAGACTCAGTGACTCAATTTCAACAGCCCTCTTGGTGATTTTCTGAAGGTGAGGGGAGGAGAGGAGAACAATTTGCATGGGATTTCAAAAATCTTAGATTTTATATTTTGCTAACTCTCATAGTAAACTTCTGAACGGCAGTCTTACATCACAGCTCTTCTATACATTTAACTTTCCAGGTATATATGAAGGACATAGTTGCTGTTACACCCCATTTTAGCTCCTGTTTATACAAGACAGGGAATATTTTAATCATTTTTAATCAATTAGAATAATAGTTTTTATAAAGCAATAAATCTAAATTAATCAATAAATAAATATTGTCCTACAGAAAATAGAGCGCATAGCTCCCGAACAACACTCCTCAGAATACTGATTGGGAGTTTCTTATTAGTAAGTAGCCATCACAGCTTACTGAAATTTTTATTTGGAGTATGTGTGTCAGAAAGAATAAGAAACAGTTGCATTCAGATAAACTATTATATACTTTTACTTGGGCAATATTACAGTTGCTCACCTGGAAAACAGAACTCAGCTTTTTAAAATAATTCCCATAGCTTTTTTGCCTACATTAAATTGCATGTTGCCTTATCTACATCCTTCAAAATGTAAGGAGCTTATCTTGTGATGGTCATTGGGCATATTTTATTAGAAACTGTAAAACACATATTTCTTAAAGTGCTTGTTATATATGTCATATCTATGTTATATATATGACATATGTAATGCGTATATATATATTTCTTCAGAAAATATTGTCTTTTACCAGATTACTAGACTCAACATAAAAACCATGCATAGCTATTAGGACTTTTACTGCTGTATCTTTAATCTAGTCAATAAAGCATTCTAAGTCCATGTCATCACAACAGGATCATTATAAAAACACAGTTATGTCTTTCCAGGCCTTCTCCCTTCTCAATTTAAAGATCTGTTGCTTTCTATAGATGTTATCTGAGAAACTAGAAGGACCAGAGTAACCTTATCCCAACCTACTCTCTGTTCTTCCCCTTCTCACCTGTAGGGGTTCCTGCAGAAAGACCTGCAGGACAAGACTGAGAAGAGGCCTGGCCCTAACAACACATCTGATGACAGGGAGATGGGATATATTTTTCCACATATGCATGCCTTAAAGAGAATTTATGTAAAACACATACACATGACATTTAGATACTACCCTCATTTCTTTACAAGTGGTGGACTGAGAAAGATAACAGGGTCTGTCTGTACTGGAGTAACCTATGATGGATCGGCACAGGGTGGACATATACAGTGAGATCAGTATGGCCAATGGCAAGTAAGTGAAGAGTAATTGAAGGTTCTCTTTTATTAACATATATAATTTCTCATCTACTTTTTCACTTTGGCTATGTATCTGAAACATGCTCTGCTAACTTATTTACTGTTTCAGTTAATCCTTCCTACAACACCTATCTCGAAATTTCTTTATGTGATTATTACTTTAGGACACTTCCCTTGTTATGTTAACACACACACCAAGAAAAGGGGGACACAATAACTGTCTTTGACAATTTGCTTTACTTCTCCTTTTTCTGTTGGCAACATCTGGGCTATTTCTGCATGTAACAATGGGTGCACGGATGCCTAAATATGCATCTGCCACCGTCTCTATTGTTTTTACTGATGACTTTATGAAGATGCATAGTTTTTAAACCCATTTACATTTGCAACAAAGGAAAAAGACTCCTTTGCAGAGATAGCTTATGACAGAATCACTAAATGAGTACCACCTATCTACATAAAGTGCTAAGTTTCAAATTACATTTTTAATACCTGAGCAAATTAAGAATCTGAACTGAAATCTGAATCTGGAGTAACAAGCAGAATTAGCTGCTACTGAGCCACACCACAGCAGTCTATATAGTATAGTAAGTATGTAGCTGACATGTATTTAGGATATAAAAACAGTAGAAAAAGTGCAAGCATTAAACAGAACAGAAAACACAAGAAGAATTCCACATTTTATGGAGATGTTTCTGATTTTTTCCTCACAGTAAAAGCTGTCAAGACATTTATTAATTATAGGCATCCTCAGCCAGACATTTGCAGAATACAATTCTAAGCTAAACCATGCCATTTTTAGTTATTAAAAAGAATGTCACTGCTTAAACACCTTCAAGCATAAACATATTTAAGACAAAATACAGACAAAGCAAATACTGAGGAAGTTTTGTTGAGTTCAAGTCAACAAGCCTACTGCTATTTTGTTCTTCAGAGGGCAGCATTAAATACCAAATCAGAACACAGGTAACTACTATTTGAGGAAATCTCATCCAAACTTACTATTAGAAAACAGAAAACCAGTAACATCAGAATCACTGCTTCTCTGAACTGATGCATTTTATCTTTCCTCTGTGAGTTTCTTCAGAGTTCCTTATCATAGCCGATTTGATCAGTCTCATGATGTGCTAGCAAAGGCGTAGAAGAACACGGAAAAGTATAATCGCTTGAACATAATACAGTGTTTATGCAGACAGGGGAGCACAGAAGCTATCCAGAGGACTTGAAGACCGGCAAAACAGGATAAGAATTAAGAAGTTGTTTCTCACAAATTCAAAGCCAGGGCACAAAAGAATTTTTTTATAGACTTGGACTGCAGAACAGGCATAAGAATCAGAGAAAGGTTTTCAGTAATTCCTCCTCAAATTGTATTACTATATTTCAATAGTTTCTCCTAGGCTCTGAAAACCCTGAACCAGAATGATAAAGGTGTTAAAAGATCACAATTTACTTTTATCTTCAGTGATGTCTGTAGTAGCTAATTACCAAGGTATGCCTTGAAACCCAGGACACTGCTTTTAGTCTCCATTTTAATAAAATTAATCACACTTACAAATATAATTTACTTGATTAAAGGCAGAAAATTCCAATAGGCCCTCTTGTACTAAAGCCAATACTCAAGAATTATAAACAATCTAAGTCTTCCTGAATGAAAGAGTTCTTAAAACAGCTTGCTGCATAATTTTGGACAAATACAGTGATATGTAAAACAAATACAGTGATGCAGTACAAAAGTCTACCAAGCTCACACATTTTTCAGCTGCTGAGAAAACCAACAAAGAAATAAAATTGCCCAATAGCTGTTATCATCCCAACACCTGAAATTCTCTCCATTCCTGAACAACACGAACTCAAGATTAGTAAGAGAAATCAAAAGCTATTCATAAAGTGAACATAAAAACCCTGAACATTTTGATATAGAAAAAAAAGTCTTGTATTACTAAAGATGACCCAAATCTATATTATTAAAATCGAAACATTACACAGCCATGAAGTTTCTTTAAATACAAGGATCTTAGCATTGACTACATAACTACTGTTAAAGGAAGAACCATGTACTATCTTGTCAGGAGGAAAATGCAGATAGAGGTGAGATACCTTTCAGCACACTCTCTTGTCTTCAATGCCTACAGAGAAATTCACAACAGATTTGTGGAGATCCCTCCACTCCAAATCTAGCAGAACCTAGTATTTCCAAAGATTTGCAAGAGAGGTGCCTTTTGAGATCAGTCATGAGAATAGAAATAAACGCAAATAGAAAACAATACATTTTATATTACGGAAAAAAATACCTATGAAAATATGCTGAAAAAAAGGGGAAAAAATTACCTGGAACAAGTTCCATAACAATATAAATAGGCTGTCGTTGTGTGCAAACTCCTATAAGTTTTACAATATTAGGATGATCATACTGTTTGAGTATTCTGCAAAACATACAGTAAGTTTATTATATTAATTTTAACTTTATTTTACATTATAAATTTTATTTTACAAACTGATTGAATAACATAGGAAAATATTTTAAACCCTTAATATTATTTTAATGGAACATGTCATTATTGTTATCATAAAGAAAAAAATCAATGTAACAGATCAATCATCATTCTGTTTTAAGTGGAAGGCTAATAAATCAAAGATTGAACACTGTAAGTTTAACATTTGTCCACATAACATTTGTCTATATTACTGAATAATGGCCTGACAGGTTTTCAGTTTCTCAAGAACTCTTGTAATTAAACAGAATTTCAGTGGTGGACCAGAAGCAGAGCTACATCAAAAAAGCACGCCCAGCATGCCTCTACATTTCCATGCCTCTCCATTTCTGTGCTGCACTTTTCAAAAGCACATTCATTCCACTTTTAGTGTCAGAGATTAATTAATACAACAAGTTTCAGAAGAATATAAGGATAGCAATTTTAATTTTGGGAATTAAAAAATTTACATCATCTCAAGCAATACTTTATTAATAACATTTGCAGCCTAAACCAGCATGCTATGGTTTATAAGTGAAATGAAGGGCAAGGAAAAATTCTATAGAGACCCAGTAACTTTGTTTTTTCTACTATTTGTTGACTTAAAACACATCTTTTTCCCTCTTTTATTTCTGGGTTCTCGAGTAAAATGCTAACGTACCTGGCGCATACATGTCTAGTGAAAAACAATACATTTCATTTTATTTTGGACTAACACTACTCCATTAGTGGCAGGCTGTTTAACAAGTGGCACTTGCAAACTTCTGAGCTATTTAAAGTTATTCAACAGATACAGTGGCTGATCTTCATTCTCTAAATGTACATTGTATCTTGTACTTTTCCATATTGATCCTACTAGCTTGGAAGTAAAAATGAAAACATACTAAGCTTCAGCGTGAAAGTGAAAAAGTTGATTTAAATAATTGTGAAATTATCTCAACATACCCCTTTATTGTGAGGTCTCAGAACTTACCTATCTACATCAGGCTACATTCAGAATACTTAGCATATTATGGCATGAATATTATTTGAAAAATGAGTATGCAATCACACGCTGCCTGACACAACATAAAATATCTCTACTGGAATGAACTCTTCTTACAAAGAAAATTACTATATGGAATCTATTCAGTAACCTCGCCACATCTGATCAGCTCTACTAGTCACACATGTAAAGTAGGATTTATGACTGGTATAATCTTATTAAATGTGCTCATGATACATCGCAGAAGTTCCAAATGGAAGCACTTAAAACAACATAATTGTGTTTTATAGGCATAGCTTGCTTTGCCAAAGAGGTAACTTCAGCAAGTGCAGATGCTAGTGCATTCACATACTAAAATGCGTATCTTTAGTTACAAGGAAAACAGTTCTAGAATATACTGAGGGGAAAGGAAGGAAAATTTTGACTACTGCTTCTTTGATTTTTTATGAAGGTCAGATTTTGTAAATTCATCTAGTAATAAAACTTGAAAAAAAACCCCACCCGACAACAAGTATACATTTCAATTAAATTTAGAGAACCTACCTGGCTTCTGACAGGAATTTTATTTTCAGTTCCTGAGGAAGATCTTCTTTACAAGTTTTTACAGCAACAGGAGTTTTATCTTTTAATGTTCCCTTATACACCTCACCAAAATTACCCTGAAATCAGGAAAAAAAAAAAATCTTCTAAATAAAGAAAATCTTCAAAGAGCTCCACAAAAATAATGCAGAACGACAACGTAACTCGTAGAGAGCTTTGAAATGTGTTTATGAAGCCAAATGAGGTTTTCTTCCAGTATTTGTTCCTAACACAATACAATTCACACAGACATAGTTATATGGACAGATATCTATTATATGGGCACAGTGTATGAGCTCTACTTTGACCTTGGTGGCAAAAGAGAAAAAAACCATTAATTGTATAATTACAATTTGCCCATAAAACCTCTTGCTATCTTCTAAACAGACATTGATAATAGTGCAGTTTTTTCTTATTCTTACTCCTGCACTCTTTCATTTCCACACTAGTGTATTTTATAAACAATTTCCAACTTGCAGTCTATAAGTGACCCACAAGATGATCTCTGAAACTAAGACAAAATATATCATAATAATGTATACATTCTCACATATACAGGAAATAAAAAAATGCAAAATAAGAAAACTGACACCACTGAATAACTTAAAGCCACTTCAAAAGTATCTTGTTTATCTGCCCTGAGAAAGTTACATGATTCACTTTTTTTTTTTTAAACCTAAGCTCAGTGCTGCTCTATATATTTGGACAGGACTTAGTAGCTCCTTTCATAACCATTTTCAGGTTTTCAACAACATACCCCAAGGGTAAATTTTTTGGTTTGGGTTTTGGTTGTTGGGTTTCTTTCATAGAAGAAAACTGAAGTAATACAGATAATAGAATAATCTCTAACAGAAGTAATATTTACTTAAATAAAAATAAAAGGAAAATTAATTAGGACACAAATGGAACAAAGAAGGAAATTGTGGGGTATATGACAAAACACTGCTATCAATGAAAAAAATCCAGAAGAAAAAAAACCTCTCACAGATAAACACCTCATACTTTTATTAAAGTGTTGCATTTCCCAAAGAGCTAGTACAACTTAATTTAAATTAGGCATCTGATAAATTTCCACATGTATTCTACTCTGTGTCCTGGTATCTGGGGCTGCAAGTAACTTAAAAAAACAGCAAAGCTCTGTTGGAAATATTTTTCTTTCTTTCCTGAGTGATGAAGATTTCATTACATCATGCATTTGAATATGGTATTGCCAAAGCAAGAAGACAGAAAAACTCATGAATGGAAAATAGTAATGTACTGCTAGTAACAAGGGAAGAAATTTAGGCCTAAACACACGTTTCCAGTACTATTTAGTATAACGTAGGATAAACGAAGATGTACACAGCAAGGACTGCTTAAGTATTGAAAACGTTGCTTGGGTTTTTTTTTTTTTACTTTATTCAAAATATTTAATTATTATTATAGATACTTTTTTTTTAATATAGCACGTTTCTTTCACACAATTTTCATTTTGTGAGGTAAGAAAGAATTAATACTGAGCAAATAAACAGACCATTAACTCCTAATGTGAAGGAAAATCTTCATGTTTTCTGAAGCTTGAGTCCTCTCAGACATTAAGCTTTCATGATTTTCCTCCTAATGTTTTCCAGGCCACACAAGACTTTAAAGACCCTCAGATTTCTCACTTCCATGGTGAATGGCTGTAGTTCAACTTTTATCATACAGATGCTGATGGTCCTGGCATTCTTACCTTTTCCAAGTTTGACTCTTTCTACAGATGGAGGCATAACAGATTTATCACAGTATCACAGTATGTTAGAGATTGGAAGGGACCTCAAAAGATCATCTAGTCCAATCCCCCTGCCAGAGCAGGAACACCTAGATAAGGTTACACAGGAACGTGTCCAGGCGGGTTTTGAATGTCTCCAAAGAAGGAGATTCCACAACCTCCCTGGGCAGCCTGTTCCAGTGTTCCATCACCCTCACTGAGAAGAAGTTTCTTCTCAGGTTTAAGTGGAACCTCTTGTGCTCCAATTTGTACCCATTACCCCTTGTCCTTTCATTGTTTGCCACTGAGAAGAGCCTGGCTCCATCCTCGTGACACTCCCCCTTTATATATTTATATACACTAATAAGGTCACCCCTCAATCTCCTCTTCTCCAAACTATAGAGACCCAGCTCCCTCAGTCTTTCCTCATAAGGGAGATGCTCCACTCCCTTAATCATCTTAGTTGCCCTGCGCTGGACTCTCTCCAGCAGGTCCCTGTCCTTCTTAAACTGAGGGGCCCAGAACTGGACACAATATTCCATACTGTATTCCGAGACAGTTTGGATCCTTTTCTGTATTTTTTAAAAAACATACCCTTCTATAATCACTTTTAAGCACTGAGGGGTCTTTATTGAATGTTAAAAATGCTTTGTGCTAAAAATATGCAGTGCACATGTAAATTCAGTTTACTAAATTTTCAGATTACTTTAACTGTCTTTACTCATCAAGACTAATCCATATTTATTTTTTAGCAAGACAAAGCTTTTTTAATGCCTGAAGCATCTTAATTTAATGCTGCCAAAGAGATTTTGTCCTGGGTAACAGAACTTTCTGATAGTATTTAGCTCCCCCATTTTGTGAATAGTTATCAATTCTTTTAGTGTGTATCAAAGTAAGGCAGTAATTACTGCTTTCATTTATCTCTTCATTTAAGCTTATTTTTCAGTTTTAGGGAAATCCTTTGTAACATTGTGTCCGGTGTGACACTTGGACCGTCTTTGCAGGTGCAAAGACGTTAAAAATTTGAGTTATGTGGCTTACCTGATTTTAAAGACTTGGAGCTCTGAAGCAGAATTTGTGATATAAACTACATTATACAATTATTAATTTTATACATAAATGAAAGTGAAGTTACCTAACATGCAATAAATCATACAAAATACAGAATATCTGTCTTAACAAATTTTGATTTAATGTCATATAAAATTTTATACATAACCCCAGAAATTTCATAAATACCTAAGCATATATTTTCTGCAATTTTTAAATTTTGCAACATTTTTGTAAGACTACAAAAAGTAAAACAGTCACATTGCACTTTATAGAAATGTAGTTAGCTTAAAGGCCTTCCAAAATAGAAAAATATGTACGCCAGTTAAATACTTTCAGCATACACATTCTATCTTTTACCAGTAAATGTGACTTACATTTATATAAAGTGCAATGCTGTCTTTTCTATTAAAGTAAAAGTATTTATACCAAAATCATGTACCACAGTAATTTAAAAGATATAGCAAAACAGGAAATAGCTCAATGATTAACATATTTAAGTGTTATTTAGCTCCCTTGATTACTTACTTTACCGAGTAATTCTCCCAATGTGACATCTTCATGATTGAGAACCCATTTCTTATCCTATAGAAAAAAAGTAAAGAAGAATTTTCAGTCTGTGCAAGTATGTATGATTTTCTATAAGATACATTTCACTAATAGAAGCATTGTATTCAGACTGCTCAATCAAAAACATACCAGGAAGTTTTAAATCTAAACTGTTATATAACGTTTTAGAAGGTTTGCTATACAATAAAATATTGAAATATACCACATAGAAAATTTCTATCAGAAGATTAAGCCTACAACAAGACAGTTATGTATGCAGATAGAACACTATGCAAATTTTCATACAAGCCTTGGAAATCATACCTAGCACCTGTTTTTAACAAGTCTAAATCAGGTAAGATACCTGAGTCAAAATGAGATAAAACTTCATTTTAGTATATGAAATATAACATGAAATGTAACATGAAATGGTAGAATAAAAAAACCACCATTTTTCTTCTCAATGCACTTGAAGAAGAACAGATTTTTCTACATATTAAGAAGACATATTTGTGTCTCTTCTGTGGTAGTTTGAAATACCACAGGCAACTACTTGAAAAGACAACGTAACAAATGCCAGTTAAAGTATTTGTCGAGTGCTGATGAGCAACAGTACAAATACTCTGCAACAGCCTGAAGACATATAAAAAACAATTACAAATGTCTTCCTACACATATTTAATAAATACTTAGCTAAAATGTATGATATTTGAAGTCTTACCCATATTTACTGTTTTCCCATTTTATTTCTCTGTTAGCACCTCATCTACTTATCACCTCACAAACAGTATTACCGCTCCTCACGTTGGCAGTAAGGCTCTAAACATTCCTTCTTACTAACAAAAAAGGCAAATATCTAAACAAGTGTATGCCAACTTATTAAATCATTTCTCATTAAAACTCACACAAAACCTAGCCAAACATCTGGCTTTGAATTACACTTAATACATCAGATTACCAGGTTTTCTGGACCATGGAGTGGTCCAGAAGAAGGTTCATATATAGGATCATATACAGGTTCATATACAGGATCACTATATAACCCTGACCAGAAGACAGGATGTACATCACAGTGTTAGCGATCTACACAGCAGCTAACTGGAGTGAGCCCAGGCCTGTGCTCTCCTGCACAGCTCCCTTGTCTGCAGGAGGAACTCCACCACTTCTCTGCAATGGTGCCCACAAGCAGCTCCCGCTGTGTACTAGCAACCATAGCACCAGCACGGCCCTTTATCTACAAGTGTTCCAAGATGTCCTTTCTTTTTACCAGTACAAATAATGAACAGAGTTGCTTCCTTGTAAGAAGATCCTCTTATAGCTCGAATAACCAAAATGTGAGAATCTCTACTACAGGCGCGGATTGATCAGCATGCTGCATGTGGACTAGTGGCCCATTCAGTGCTATGCCACCTGGGGCTCCCACTGTCTAAAGGGGTGCAAGATTGTCTATATTACTCTCTCCTTACAGTGTTAGCTGTAACAGACAGTATTTTAACTTATATCTTCCAGACTCTGAGTGCTTTTCCTACTGGAATCATTAACAGCACCTCCTCGTGCAAAACAGGATCTTTGCGATGCATTGTCCTGGGTTTAGCAGTAGCAGTCATTTTTCTCCTTGGTAGCTGGTGCAGTGCTGTGTTTTGACTTTCAGGCTGGGAACAGAGCTGATAACAATGATGTTTTGGTTTGGCCAAGGACTTTGTGAGCCTCATGTTCTGCCAGGGAGGAGGGGAAGCTTGGAGGAAGCAGAGACAGAACACCTGACCCAAACTGACCAAAGAGGTATTCCATACCACAGCATGTCATGCCCTGGATGCAACTGAGAGTTATCCGGAAGGGCTATGTGGACGGCACGATTGTAGGAGGTATCGGTTGGTGCTTGGTCGGGCTGGGGGGGGGGGGGAGGCAGTTATGGGTCGGCAGGTGGTGAGGTGTTATTTTCTCTTCCCTTGTTATTTCCTTTATCATTACTATTATTGATAGTAGCAGTAGTGATTTGTGTTATACCTTAGCTACTGGACTGTTCTTATCTCAACCCGTGGGAGTTGCATTCTTTTCGATTCTCCTCTCTGTCCGTCCGGGAGTAGGGGAAGGGCAAGAAGTGGGGGGGAGAGTGAGTGAAAGCTGTCTGGGTGGGTTTGAACCACGACATGCGTGTAAATGCCTGATGTCAGGGAATGAAGAAAAGGGAGCCAGACTGTGAATGGTGCTTAGAAACAGGGCAAGACGTAATGGGCACAAACTAATGCCCATTATTTAAACCAGGAAATTAATTCTGATCATGAGGAATTTACTGTGAGGGTGGTCAAACACCAAACAAGTTACCCAGAATGATTTGAGAGTCTTCATCTCAAATCAAAAGGCAATCAAAACACAACTGGGAAACCCACAGTAGCTGAACCTGCCTGAGCAGGGAGATTGGAGGACAGAATCTCAAGAACACCCGTCCAACCTAAATAAGCCTGTAATTTGAAGACAGAGGAAAACTTTCTGTGTGTAAATAGTCCATTGAATCCTAGAATGGTCAGTGTTAGATGGGACCTTTAAAGAGAATCTAGACCAACACCCCTGCCATGGGCAGGGACACCTTTCTCTAGATAAGGTTGCTCAAAGCCCCACCCAACTTGATCTTGAACACCTCCAAGGATGGGGTATGCACCCCTTATCTGGGTATTCTGTTCCAGGGTCTTACCACCCTCACAATAAATAATTTCTTTCTTGTACTTAACCTGAATCTACCCTCTACCAGTTTAAAATAATTGCCCTTTGTCCTGTCATTAGAGGCCGTAGCAAAAAGAGTCTCTACGTCTTTGTTGTAAGTCAACTTTAAATACTAAAAGGCTGCATGCATGTCTCTCCAGAGCTTTTCCTTCTCCAAGCTGAACAACCCCAGCTATGTTAGCCTCTCTTCACAGCAGAGGTGTTCCACTCTGATAACTTTTTGTGCCCCTCTGGACGCATTCTAATGGTCCGTATCTTTCTTGTATGTGGATCTCGGACAACACAACCAGTGAATTCTGCTGTCAACTCCTAAGGAAGGTGAAGGCTTGTACTGACTGGTGGCTCCCTCTTTATGCAAGGAGGAAATTATTCATCAGATAAGCCAGAGATGTTCTGGGCAACTGAAAGAATTAAACAAGTATAGAAGATTTAAGCTGCACTAGCTGGGAAGGTGGCTACTCATTTGTATCCTCCACATTTTTTGACTGACAGCAGAGAAAAAAAAAAAGCAGCATGTGTGTGGGGTGTCATTACTATGGTGACTTCTGTGGGGTTTTTTCTTTTTACATATAATGTCACATAATCACAAAGACCACTGCTCCTGTAAGCTGTGCTCAGTGTCCACATTCTAGAGACTTTCTGAATGCCTCTGTTCACCCATACTTCTAGCATGCAACTCCTGTCAGCCCCATCACATGAATTTCTATGCCATGCCACCATGCTGTGATGGGATCCATACTCTGCCACTCCTACTCCTCTTGTGAGGAAATACCCTACCAACATAGACTCATAGAACAGTTTGGGTTGAATGGGATCTTCAGCATCAAATGATCTTTCTCCTACAGGCAAGATTCTTGATTAAAACTATTGCCTCACTGATCAGATCATAAGTAATGTATTTCTTTAATCTCCTCCTTTTGATTTTACTAAAAATCATATATGGTCTATTCACTGAAGATTTTCTAGATTTATTTTATTTTCTGATTGGATGCCTCATCCAGAAGTTGTTACAGTACAGATAGCAAGTGTCATCAAAGTGCACACTTTAGCAGTAAAATGCAAGTTTAAGAAAACAATTTGCAAGTAAAGCTGTAAAGAAAAAAATTCACAAAAATGATTACTTGGAGGTACTAGCATAATGGGTTTATCATTCAGATGCAAATGCAAAAGCAAAAAGTTATACAATTAAAATGCAGTGGATTTTTTGCTGTTTAATTCCAATGATACAGTACTTCAGTGAATGACTTTTTGAAAATATTAAAAACATAGCATTTCAAAGGCTTGTTTATGGAGAAAAAATCTGATGCATAGCCCTTCAGAGGGCTAATCAAAGCAAATGGCAGCATAAACTGGAACCAAGCAATCTGTGGAAGGATTTGTTATCATTTGTTATTTTTATCAGTACATTAATCATTACCTGTACTTTTTAATGAAAACTTTCAGTCATTTACTATACCAGTATAACACGTTCATTACGTTATCATGGTTCTGCCAGAGCTTTCACAATCAAAGGCTTGTTCAAAGTTTGATCATCTTTGTAACTGAAGTTCCTGTTGTTGGTTTAGAAAAAATCTTTAATGATCAGTATATGCAAATTACGTAGCCCTGCTATTATCAGTTTCACAAGGTATCAGCAGGTGAATATTCACCTCAATGGTACATAAATGGAGAGTTTGCTTTTTATGAGATCTTCTTATGAATAGAAATCCTGAATTAAGTTTGTAGGTATATAAACTACATCTTAAATTCAAAAGACTTATCATATGTCTCACTCCTGTGGCTACACGCCTGAGCCAGCAGACTGAAAAGGAGGCAGGTGCTGCTTCAATGATCATTTCTGCTCCCAGATGGAATCTCTTCAGAACTGCTCTTTCAGTACTCATCAGACATCACCTGCACAGACCTCAAAAGCAGACAGCTCCAGAAAATGATGCAACCCTTAGCATGTTATACTCTTTTTGATTGCACCTCTCATCATTTGTTTAGTCTTTTAACTTATGCATTTATAATGGAACCTGACACCGGCAGTATTTGCCAGATGATCCGCCATGAGATTAGCAGAAGGTATATACTTTGACACAATTAACAGAACAGAAACTGTAACCCAGAACTTTTTCCTTTTCTTCCTTTTTCCTTTCCTTTCCTTCCTTCCCTTTCTTTCCTTTTTCCTTTCCTTTTTCCTTTCCCTCTTTCTTTCTTCCTATCTATCTCATTTCCTTCCCCTCATCCATAAGCTTTTGTGTCATACTTCCCCCTCCTGGTTTCCCTCTCTCAGATTTAGTGAAAGTCTTAAAGACTATGAATACAGTATTTAT